CTCTCATTCTTTTGTAAAAAGGGCTCATGGGAAACGCGAGCAAAAAGAATCCTCGACTTTCGGTCGGCACCTGGCGTTTCTCTCTCTCTCTCTCGCTCTCTTTCTCTCAACCTTGCGTTGTTTTTCACCCGACGGAGAACCACGCAAGAATATCTGTTTCCACTTTTCGTAATCAACGCCGCAGTTGCGAGAGCAATCCGCGGCGAAGCAACAAGTCCCGGCATTTTCGTCTTCTAATCCCCCCTCTGGCCTGCAAGGCGCGCTCGCGAGAGGCAATCTCGCTGCCTCGGCGCGCAAAAATGAACGAAAATTCCCCTAATTACAACAAACGCCGGCATTCCGCGGAGTTGCCGTAGCTTTGTGGCGGGGCCTTACCCCTCCTCGGCGCGCACGCCCTCCCGCTCTCTCTCTCGCGCGCGCGCGCGCGCGCGAGCGCTATAAATGTGGCCCCGGGCACGCACGCCGAAGAAGGGGGAGAGAGCCTGCTCGGATAAATATGCGGGAGGGGCCGGAATTCCTCACTCGGCTGCATTCCAGCAGCCCTCCTCTCGGGCCGCGGTGATAGCCGCGCGCGCGGATTTGCCCGAGCGCTCGGCGTCGGGCAGCGCTCGCGGGGTGCGCGGCGACGCTCCCGAGGCCGAGTTGCCTAATCTTCCACGAAAAGGCAGATCTCGGGCGCCGATAGCGGGCCGGCCGAGGCTGGCCTCCGGGCTGCGGTTGCCTCGCGGCGATAAGCATCGGCGGCACGCCGGCGATCCCGGGCGCGCGCTGTCCCGACCGCTCTCTCGCCTCGTTAACCGGCTCGTCGATTTTCGGCCGGCCGTATTTTTCGGGCCGCATCGCCGATAGATTATCCTGTTAGCGGGTTATCTCGATCTGGCCGGCCGCGCGAATACCAGTAGCCCGGGACGCAAGGTCGGCCGTGTTTTCTCTGGAAGCGCGCGCCGCTCGCGCGATGCTTATCGCCAGCGCGAAAAACGCGCCGTGAGAACGCGAGGGGAGGAATGCGCGCGCGCGCGCGCGCTCGCTCGCTCGCGTTGCGCTATGCTTATTAAAAAGATGATTGCGCCGGCGCGGAGCGGCCGAGCGCCGCCAGCGAGAGCCTCGTAAGAATGTTATTAGGGCTCGCTTCGGAATTCCATGGGATAAACGATCGAAGAATGGAGCTTTTGCGCGGCCAGCGAGATCCGCTCCGATGAAGCCTCGATTTTTCCCTTCGGCCGATTGTCATCTGCCGTTGCGCGGCCAACTAGACGAGCACCGCATTGTCGTGCGGACGAAAGCGCGCGTAGAGAAGAATCGCGAGGGTTACGGGCACAACTCTCTCGCGAAGAAAGGCGCGCGCGAGTGAAATCACACACACACACACACACACACACACACACACACACACACACACACACACACACACACACACACACACATACGTGCTGTAGAGGGGGCAGGATGCAACAGCAGGGAGATGGAAAAGGCAAATAGAGACAAAGAAAATGTATAGCTCGCGCCAAAGAATTTCTCTCTCTCTCTCTCTCTGCTCAGCGTGGCTCCATTCGCTTGCTGGATGATCGCTGATGGGTCCACGCACACTCCAGAAATTCCAACAAGGACGGGGCATAATGTGCGGCTCAAGGTCGGGCCTCTAGGAGAGCGCGTTCGTTGCAGGGTCGTACCCTGACCTCGGCAGGCCCAACATCCCCACCACGCGACCGTCGAGGCGCGCGCAAAGTGCAACCGCGTATCCTCGGGCGCCCCATCCTCCCTTCTCTCTTGGCGTGCTCTCTTGGCTTCTCGCGAGAAAGCTCGGAAAATACCTCGGCTTGCCAGCGCTTGGTCTAGCTAGCGCCGGCCTGGTTTTGCCCCGAGAGCTTCGCGAGAAAAGCAGCATCCCGAGAATGTGCAAACACGGGCAACCATCTCCTACGCTCCTGAGTTGCAACCGCAGCGGAGCCCACGTATAGAGTGAGAAAGAGAGAGAGAGAGAGAGAGAGATGGGGCCCGCCTTTTTACTCGGCCGGGAAGCAGCAGAAGAAAGAAAGAGAAGCAGCAGCAGCAGCAAAGCAGCAATGGAAGGAGAAGGTAGAGAGAGGTAGAATAGAAGGAGGAGGAGCGTGGAGGGACGCTCGCGCGCGCGCGCGGGGAGAAAGAGAGGAGAGAGAGAGAAAGAGAAAAAAGGGATCCCTTAAAAATTGAAGCTCTCGGGCAAGAGAGAGAGAGAGAGAGAGAGAAGAGGTGGGGATTGGAATTTCGGGCCCGTAACCGACCAGTCTCGTGGAGGCCTTCTTCTCGTGAAGATGAGGTGAGCGAGCGAGCGTTGCGGAGCGCGCGGTTGCGTCTGTGAAGTCATGGACCGACAGTATACTCTGTGCGTGCTCGTGCCGGCACATCAGTACCGTAGCTACATCGACAGCTACAACAACTCCGCCAAGCAACATCAGCAGCACCTCCAGCATTCCAGCGTCTACTACCCCCAACAGCAACAGCAACAGCAACAGCAGCAACAGCAGCAGCAGCAGCAGCAGCAGAGGATCATCAACCAGTACCAGGCACGCCATGATTACCGCCAACTACTGCTGCAGCAGCAGCACCAGCTGCAGCTGCGCCAGCTGCAGAAACAGTATTACCAGCCGCAGCAGCAGGACAAGGAGCCCAAGCAGGAACAGATCTACGAGAACGTGCGCTATCAGATGCGCATGTGCTACCAGAACGACTACGAGAACGACGAGCAGATCCAGCGCTTCTACTGGGAGCAGTGCTACCGACGCGGCGACGACCACGACGCCGGGACTGCTTCCTACTACTACTGCGAATACGTAAGCGAGGCTGCGACGACGCGGGCCAAACATCACGTGTGCTGTTCGGCGAGTCGTCCAAGAGAAGTGCGACCGACCGCGCGATGCTTCCGCTCGCCGCGCGCTCCGAGGTCCGACTGGCGAGCCAACGGGGCACGCGGCGGGGAGCCGAGGCTGCTGGTTTTTGGTGTTTCTGTGCCGGGGCCGGCGAAACCGCGCGGATCGCCGACCGATGCCGCTCGCTCGTCCATCCGGTCTTTTCGGCTGGTCTCGAGCGCGCTACTGCTGCTGATGCTGCTGCTGATGCTGCATTCTCACGTTTGGCGCGCGCAGCGCTTTCTCCGGCGAATTTCCGTTCGATCGTCCTTGCGGACGGCGTGCGTAGTGCCCCGTCAATCGCCGTTGCCCGCGAACGCGATTCAGCGAACGGCGGCATCGTGGCCGATGGATCGCCGCGGTCGATTGGCGAACGGGTGCAAAAAAGGCGAAAAAAAGTCGTTGCACCTTCTCGCCGGAAGAGACGAAACGAAACCGAGCGAGCAACGGCAGGAGCGTCGCGTTCGGCTGGAACCAATCGCGTATCGCGCGGCTCGTCGAGCCGTCGCGAACCGGAATCCGCGCGCTGAAATAGAATTTTGGTCGGCGTGTCGGCCGTACAATTGTTTTGGTTCAGTGAACTGGCCGCTTTCCGCCGCCTAGATATTCGAACCACGCGCCTTCGCCTTTGCTCTTGTCGCGCGCGGCGCGCAGCCCTTGCGAGCCGCCCGAAAATAGATCAAGCAAGCGGCCAAGGCATTACCCAGCGGCGATAATTGTTACGCGCTGCTTCGCGGAACTCCGTAGTGCCGCGCTGCTCACCTCGTTTCTTTTTGCCGGTTTTTTTCGGCCGCTCTCGCTTCGCGTCGGAAAAGTCAGCTCATCGCGAAGCCACGCTGGGCTCGTTCGTTCGGTCGAATTAAAATTGAAAGTGCATCGGTCCGATGGAAGACGCTGCAGTCGAAGCATTTTCCTTTGTTTCGCACGAGTGCCGAAGAAAAAGAGAAAAGCAGAGAGGCAGCTAAATAAATGTTGTTAAATCCGAGCGGCGCGCTTCAGCGAGCTTTCAAAAGAAAAGGAGAGAAACGAGCGATATGTTTAAAACGGAACACTCGCTGAAATTCCATTGCAATCGGAAAATACTCGGGCGATAAATAAAAGCGTATGAAAGTCGCGGCGAAGAGGTAGGAGAAAAAAAAGTCAACAAAAAGGAATTTGTTGCCCCACGAGATCAGGCTTATTGCAATGCATGTATCTTTTGAAAAAGTCGCGACGGCGCTGGAATGTTTCCCACGCGCTCGCTCGCGCGCGCGAGAATTTCACATTATAGTGATTGGAGCGTTGCGGGCTGGTTCGGCGCATAAATACACTAGGGAGGCTTCCAAATAAATTAGAAAGTATTTCGCTGCCTCGTACGTGTGTTTGCACATGCTTCCGAGAGTAAATATTCAGCACTATAAATTATTCGTTGCTCGATAGTCCAGGAAGAATAAAACTTCTATAAACATCGAAAATTACCATTCGTCGAGATAAACTCCGTCGTCCTCTCGAGATTTACATATGTTTCTTTATTCCAATACGTCCGATGGAATTTTCGTTTTAAAAGCCATGTAGATTCAATTTACGAAGCATTTTTTTCCAAAGATAACTCGTTGTTTATGTCAGCGACGTAAGTGACTTTTACAACGGGATTTTCTCAAAGGAAAATATCGAAATGTGCCCTTTTACTTTATTCATGAGTCTGATGCAATTGCGAATGAGCAGACTTGTCAGCAGGGAAAAAAGTGTGTGAATATTCGAGAAATTTTATTGCAGCTATTAACGCATTACATCATTGAATTTTATAAGTTTATTGGGTGGTTTGTTGAATGATCGCTATGTGGCGCCCGGTTCAAAGAACGCTTATGAAAAAGTAGTAAAGTAGCCGGGTAAAAGTAATTTCGTCATTATTGTGGCATTTGAGTAATTGAATTTGGAGAGTTCATTCATTGAGCGCAGTTGGCTCTCGTAATTGACAGTGGAAAAAAATCTCGGTCTCGAACGTTCTCGTAAGGAGAGAGAAGAACTCTTGTGAATCTTGTCAAACAGCCGCGATAGTGCGTTAATTGTCGCTTCGGAAGAATGCCCGAGATCAGGCATAAAGCTAATGGCACCGGTGACGTTTGCGTGTTGCAGGCGAAAAAGGAGATCTACGACGTGAAGCAACAGCGATTATGCTTGGCCCAAGACGAGTACAATCACCTGAACAATGCTCTTAGTACTCTCGGTGCTTCCCGCACCAGCTGTAAGTAGCATACAGTAACGACACATCTGTGCGCCTTTTTCTTTTTTTCCCCCTTTGCTCTGCTCCCCCGTGCCACCTACGTCCGTCGCTGCCGCTCTTCTTGTCCATGTGCTCGCGAACGCCCTACGTTGTTCGCTGCGGCATGCCGCTTGTGCGATGCCTCCCGGATCGCGTCGCGTCCCGGCCATTTGCTGTTTCGTTTCCCCGGAAACTAGCGCGAATCGCGGGGAACATTGAAGGGCTGCGCATGAAATAAAGGCAAGAGTCTACGCCGTAAAGAGCAGAACAAGCAGCGCGGCGGCGGCAACGACGACGACGACGACGACGACGACGACAACAACGACGATGGTGTCTGTTCTTGTTGCAGTGTGCTCGAGTTCAAGCTCGCTCAGCACGAAATACGACCCGGACCTGCTCAAATGCGACGTGGCGTTGGCGAGGAAACGTGTGTCCAGGCTGAAGCGCGAGCTCGAGCAGATACGCGCCGAGATGAACTGCACGCAACGTGGCGTCGAAACTCTCGCCAGGTACGTTGCGCAGCGAGCCTGCCTTCCCCCTCATAATCGATATCGATACTGCACCAGCTCGGTCGGTGCGACGCTCGAGATCGCTGCGAATCGCGCAGCGATCTCTCGAGCGATTACCGAAAGCCGAGAGCTGCCGCAGCTAGTCGCGTGCAATTGGCTACGCAGGAGCGCCGACGCAATGCTGACAAATGCGTGCTTTCTCTGCCCCCCTCGTGTAGCGTGGAGCAAAAGCTGAGCTCTCATCACGCGGGCTGCTACAACATCACGGAGGCCCAGGCGATAATGACGGAGCTGCGCAACATCCAGAAGAGCTTGAGCTCCGGCGAGAAGGAGAAAGCCGAGCTGATGCAGTCGCTCGCCCAGTTGAAAGACGAGTTGACGAGGCTACAGCTCTGCGAGGGAAGTCCGGACGCGAGCACCTTGAGCTTGCCCCAGGAGAAACTGAGCACGGCCTCGCAAACGGATTTGTCGGGCGAATTGGTTCCCATTGGCACGCGACTGGCGGAGATGGCGAGGATGAGGTTGCAGTACGACGAGGCGAGGAAGAGGATTCAGCAGATTCAGCAGCAGCTGGCCGATCTCGAGGAGAAAGTCATTCCTGGACAGACGGAAAGCGACAAGGACAAGCTGCTGCTGTTCCAGGAGAAGGAGCAGCTGCTGAGAGAACTGAGGAGCATCACTCCGCACACGAGAACGCAGCAGGACATGAAGAAGATACAGTCGGAGATCAAGAGGCTAGAACAGGATCTTAATAACGCTTTCGAGCTGTCGAACAAAACCATCACCGACAGGGTGAGGCTTCACGAGGAGAAGCAACTTTTATTGCAGCAACTCAAGGATGCACTCAGGTTTGTCTTTGACCAATTTTCACGAATCCACTTTTTCCACCAAGAATTGACGATTAACGATCCACGTTTTTCTAGATCAATGGCAATGTTGGAAGGTCAACTGAAGAGCCTCTCGGCGAGCACACTCTCGGTCTCGAGTAGCTCGAGCCTCGGCAGCCTGAGCACAACGAGCAGCAAGGGTTCGCTGAGCTCGGGCCTGAGCTTCACGGACATTTACGGTGGACCACAGTGTATGGGCACGACGATACAAGAAAGACCGGTCGACATGGTCGATTTGCATCGTCGTGTTGAACGATTACTGAAGGGTTCCGAACAGAGCGTCGTTGTGCCGAACAATCTCGGTATACCGTCGCCAGGCAGATCGCAACCGAGTCTCTCGCCAAGGTCCAGCTTGTCGAGCGTCTCGCCACCTGTCTCACCACTTTACGAGAACGCTCCGGTAGGACCGCCACCAGCTTACGAACAGATCGAGCTGCAGAGGAGACAGCAACAGATACGGCCTACCACTGCGTCACATCTCGACAGGACGCAGTTGGAAGATAAGCTAGCAGAATTGAGATTGAGTCAGCAGACGATACAAGAGCAACACTGTACTACCGTTGAGTATAGTCATCATCACCATCATCTACATCACCATCAGCAGGTATCGAAGCATAATCAACAGCCACCTATGGATCTACAGTCGTGTAATATGTCGCAAGGTAGCGGTCTTGGAAGGCCAGGTATGACCGGTAAGTCGAGCCTTCTTTAAACGTGTCGATTGTCTTTTTTCAATCGTTATTTACACGAATAAAAACGCAATTGCGCTTGACTATAGAACCACCTCTATCACCGATCAGTGAAACCCCACCGCCAATGGGCATTCGTTCACGAGCAAGCTCATCGGGCACGAACACACGCTCCGTTTCAGCCGCCGTGTCCGACGAGAGTGTTGCCGGGGATTCTGGCGTCTTTGAAGCCTCGAACAGGCGAAGATTATCCGGCATACTCAACGCTGATGCTCAAGTCACTGGCGATTCTAATCTCGAAACTGCGCAAGTCCAAATTAAGCTAAGGTACGTTGAAATAAATCTGTTGTGATAATAATCTGTCTAGCGTGGCAACGTAAGGTATTGATTTTGTGTTTTATGTTAACAGGTACTCGGTGAACGACGGTACGCTCAACGTAGGCATTGAGCGAGCAAGAAACCTGGCGGCCCTTTTTATTCCCGACAGCATGCAAGTGTAAGTATAACGAGCTTAACTAATCTAGAGCGCGTATCGATTTACCACGAGACTCGCGTTAGACTAAGTTGATCCATCCGTGCGTATAATAACCATCGTAACCGCAAATAACCTTTCATCGATCTATTTCTCTTGCTTATTATCTTATTTCCACGGAGGCAAATTTCAATGAATATTAATCACGCGTGTACGTAACGATATAGTGTCAAGTCTCTCGTTTCTAAAGTGTTTATGTTTGGCTTGTGTGTTTGCAGATATATAAAAGCCGCTTTATTGCCAATGCAACCAGCAACGAATAACATGTGTTGCTCGAAACCGGTAACGGATTTGCGCAAACCTACCTTCGGTGAAACATTCCCAATTGCCGTGCCGCTCAACAAGCTCTACACCAAGACACTGCAGGTCAATGTTTGGTGTACCAGCGGAGAGTCTGAGGAGTGCTTGGTAAATTAAAAATTTATTTGGAAACTTTTAATTCGAGAAATTAATAAGCGTCACATTCATCTATAATACAAAAAATATTGGCTTTTATCAACAGGGTTCAGCCCAAGTCTCATTGGCAGACTTTAATCCTGAAAACCCGAGCGTCAAGTGGTACAATATCCTGTCGTTCCGTTTCATGCAGCCGTCGAGTTCGTCTGATGCAAGCGTCTCCCGCTCTTCACTCTTGTCCTCGCAGCAGCAATTGTCGAGCAGGCACGACAAGCAAGAATCCGAGATCTCGATGTACCGCGGGCAAAACAGCAGTAGTAGTGGACAGAACGCGAAAGAAGAGAGTAGTGACGAGAGTACCATCATCAGTTCGCAAACGTCCACGCTCACTCGTAATCAGGGATGTGAAGAACTTCAGACGGCCGTTTCGTTGAGGCTCGAGGAGTTAGCCAACTGTCTGAAAAGCCCCGAGGAGGAAGAGGAAGAGGATGGCGATAGTGATAGTGGCAGTGGTGAGAGTAAAGATAGCGACGAGGAGGGTATTATTGTTGAGTTCATGATGGAGGAAAGTGTCCTCGAAGATGTACTCGAACATGAGGTTTGCTGAATATTTTTTATAAAAAGATCGAAATGATTTTTCATTTATTCGAGTATTAAACGTTATTAATTATTCATAGGAAGATGAAGAATTGGCAAAAGAAGAAGCTGCCGCAGCGGCGGCAACAGTAGCAGTTAATCAAACCTCAGACAAAGAAACCAACACGGAATGCGTCTTCATTCCAGAGCAGGGCAAGCAAAGGAAACTATCTGCCGCGGGGGTGGTGCCTGGTGCTGTTCACGACGACAAGAACTCCATTGTCATCAAGAGAAGTCAAACTTTCTCACCTAGTGCGGCTGTCAGCAGGAACCATTACATCTGTCGGGTAAGTACTTTACTTTCGATTGTGCAGATTTTTAATGAAAAAATTGAAATCTCATGGAATTGCATTTCCTTTCTAGTTGAATCGTAGCGACAGTGACAGCAGTATGCCATTGTACAGGCGAGGCGGTCCTTTCCAACGCAACTCGGTTGAGCGTCGTTCTCTTCGTTGGCGACGACCCTCATCCGCATTGAGTTGCAAGTCACCGTCTACCTCTTCTAAATCCAAATCGTCTCACTTCAGCATCACCGCACGGACCTCGCTCGACCTCGAACTTGATTTGCAAGCTCAGCACGCCCGACTTACCAACCTCCATGATGAGCTTAACAGGCTGCGAGCACTCAAACAAAGGCTCGAGCAAGCGCGCGAGAATGGCGATGTAGATATGGCCAATTGGTTGCTAGAGGACGACAAGTTTCAAGTACTCATGCAGCAAGCCGAAAGCGGAAAGAATGGCAAGACTGCGGAGGATAAGAAAGTTGAAAAGATGCTTAGAAAGACCAGTAAAGAAATATACAAGCTACGAAAAACTAAGGCTGGAAAGGGCAAGCCTGACATCATATCATTCAAGTGAGTGTCATAGCTTTAATGGTGTCTAGATTTTATTATGTAAAATACTATACCGAGTAATTCTTGATTTACAGAGAAAAAATGGCATTTTTCACTCGAGTCAACTTGAACGTGCCAGTTCTTCCGCCCGATGAGCTCATGACTGAGAAAACATCAGTACCAAATCACGAGCATCGCAGACACGTCTCCGAACCAAGTAGAATAACTTCGAGTAAAGCCAACTCAACGCATAACCACGCCAGTAGAAAATCAAGCGTCTCATCGACGAGTACTTCCACGGAAACCGCTTCCACTTCGTCCTCGAGTGGTGACCGGAATAGTAAGATCTTGATAGAAAATGAGTCGGAAGCTCAGATTGTTGGTTGTAAATCAGAGGAAGACGAGGGTGGTGAACCTAAAAGGTACGAGTACGTCGTCGATCGTAATCTTGGCGTAGAAGTTTAACAGAGATGGAATTTGAAGTGAAGTTCCTTCATATTTTCAGCAAATTGCGTAATCGTTTCATAAATTTATTTTGTAGTATTTTGAATGCAATCGTTGATAACACGATCATAGAAAGTATATATATATAAAAGCAATGATGAAAAGGCTGTAATAAATATGCCATTAAGAAAGTATCAGGGTGTCGTACGCGAATGTGAAATTAATAAGTTATCTTAATTTGTATAATACAAATTTACAATATCAAATTTTACACAAAACATTCGGATAAAAAAATGAAATTTTCAGTCAATTATGCAACAAGTACAGAATTAGTTTGTAAGATTACAAAAAAGCTTTAATACGATGTGATGATATTCTAAATATGATTAAAAAGACAACGTCATTATTATTTTTTTTTTAATTTACGCATAAATTTTCGCAAATACTATTTATTGTTTGAAAGATTTGTAAAATCTGGTAAACTTTAGGCTATAAAATTACCGTTTTGCGAATGTGAAATTTCTTTCTAATAAAAAAATGTAGTTAGAAGAAAATGCCCTAGCACGTGGGAAGATATCCTCGCTAATCGCTTTTTAAATTCAGCATCGCGATCAAATTCCACGAATAGTACTTTAAAATAAACAGACTCGTCAAGCAGTGAGACTCATGTTTAAGCTTGGCACTTAATCGTAATCAACGATAAGTATTCAACATTCATTGTTTCTTCATAATTTTGTTACATAAGATACAGGTGCCATGCACGACTGAAATATCAGAACCAATACAATTTTCAGAGTTCAACGCTGTCATGTAATGTTTCAATTTTGATAAATCGTTGTTGTTGAAAAAAATTGAGAAATGGTAATTATAATTTAGGGTAAAGCAACCCATTGAGCAGCTGGTCTGCTTGAGATACAATTGATGTATTTCATTGTGAATTTCTCAATTGTATCGCAACAAAAGTAACATTTTTTGAAGCTGACTCTTTTTTATTCTCACGTGATAATAATGAAACAGTCAGCCTCAAAGAAATTATTGCGATAGCTTACGAGTGCCTTTGTAAAAAAATAATGTCTCTTATTGTGTGAAAGCATCAACGTTGACGTTGAGTCGAGTCCCAAAGTATCAAAAAATCGTTTATAAATATGTAAACAAATTATTTTGCGAGTTAAGTGTATTTTTCGTGATTGTTAAATTTGTTATGAAATTAAATGAAAAATGCAATTGTCAGAGAAGAATAAAAAAAGTATCGACAACGCACAGCGTTCGATCTCACCGAAAGAATGTGCCTTAATCGACATGCCATTCGTTCGACATGCGTGAGATAGTGAGAGAGAAAAAATGTATAATAATTGAGTTCTATCGAAGAGACCAACTTCTAGATTATAATGTAAATGTATACAATAAACACAGAAATTCGGACGGACACAGCGGTGTTACGACTATTGCCTTCGAACAGAGAGGCAATAAATTTTTTTCATGCTTTATAGAAATGCAGTGGAAAGGGACAAACATACATAGAAAACTCGAGAATTTAACGTTTAAAAAATTAATAAGCTTGTACATATACAATTCACTTCTCTTCATTTTGTACATACGTATATAATAATCTTTAAAAATCTTACCCTAGACGAGCCACAGTTATGATATACAAAAACAAAGTCCCGTCTACGTGAGTTATCAGCATATCCTGTATATGAATTTAAAGAAACAAACAAATAATAACGCTACTATTGACAATTAAAAATGTCGTAGCGTTTTCAAACATAGGAGAGAAAAAAGTACACTGCGACGTTGAACGCAATCAACAATCCTTGTAATTGCAGAAATTTCGGTGATGCATGTGCCTTACACGAAAATCCTGTTGCGTTTTATGTCTTGTTTATATTATTATAATATTAAATATTTGTTCGACGAAGTTGTATAGGGCGAAAGAGACACGTGTCCCACAATATACCGATGTATTATTAATGTTACATTATGTATTATTATTACAATTATTTTATTATAATTATTCTAATAATTTTAATATTATAATTTTTATTATTATGTTTATGATCATTTTTATGATTACTATTATTAATATTATTATTATTATTATTATTATTATTATTATTATTATTATTATTATTATTATTATTATTATTATCGTGTAGCGTGTAAACAAGAAATTGCCCTGTAACGAAGAAGAGTATCACAATAGTAATAATGATTTCATAACGAGAAAAAAAATAATTTTTTTTCAGATACACTACTTGCTTTGTAAGTAATGATTCCGTAAAAGAATATACTATGAATCATATAAAAATAGCTCGGCTTGTCAAGAATTTTATTTCTTACTTTGTTCAATATTTGAGCCTACTCTTCCTACTCCCGCATCAGTATAAGATGCACGCATGCCTACTTGAATATTCACCCCTTTGGATTGCTAAAAGTACATAATGAATTTGAAGGCATTTGATCGATATCTGTTGCGGCAATCTTGTGCGTGATTGTTCGCAATCTACACGGATGTTACATTTTCTTTTATAATATTGATGGATTTGCTAGTATTCCATCAGCGGAAAAAGAGCTGGCGACAGATGTCGAGTCTGGAAAAAAGATTAAGAGCGATCGATTTGTCAGATATAGCGATTCAACAAAGCCATCGTTAGATCAATTTTTCTTATTTGTTAGAAATTGAAAGACAGCAGGGAAAACGTCGATCCGAAGCCCACGCTGAACTACAACTCATTCAATCGAAATGAAATCGTTCCGCATCCCTTAGACACTAAGCAACACTAAGCAACACGACACACCTGCGCGCATGCGTGCTCGCGTGTGCGCTTCAGGTAGAGGAGGCGAAGGTGGGAGGAGGCGAAGGTGGGAGGAGGCGAAAAAAAGTAGCGAGGCTGGCGCGTCTATCGGGCGAAGGGGAGCTCGTAGCTAGCTCGGCGTAGAGCGAAGAGCGCGATGCCTCGGGCCACCACGGGTGCCCGTCGCGTCGTCGCCTCCTCGTGCTTCACGACCGTTAACCTGCTGCTACTTGCTACCGCTTCGCTGATCGCTCTTGTGCACTCTGCTTTGCCACCCGGACAAGGTACGTAACGCTTGCCCACGCGAGCTTGCGAACGCGAGCGCTCGGGGACTTAACGAAAGCAAAAACAACGATATTCGTGATCGCGTCGGTGGTATCGAGCGAGCTGCGGATGAACGACGTCCGAAAAGCCACGAAAGCTCATCAGCGAAACGTGTAATCGATCACCGCCCAGGATACACTCGCGCGATCGGAAGATAACGCGCGCGGCGCTTTTCCTTTTCCTCTTGGCAAAAGTGCACTGAACTCGGCCGCCTCCCGTACGCGCGCATACGGGCAACTATCCCGTCGATAAACATCATTGTTGCCGAACTCCTCAAAGCCTAGCACGTATAAAAGCGAGCAGCGTTGCCCTGGCTTATTTTCATCTTCGATCGCGCGCGCGTTCACCTTCTAGCGTCGTCTCGCCGGTGTGAGTCACGTGTGTGTGTGTGTGTGTGTGTGTGTGCGCGCGTGCGATGGACAGCGAGGGGTGTTGCTTTTTCTCTCTATTAGGCTCGCGCGGTTTATCGTACAGTAGACTTCGTACCGATTGACAGACCACGATCGTAGTTGCCTGCACGGCCTCGCCTGACCGAGGTGCATTTTACTACTTTGCAATTTCGACCATTCTTGGCGAGCCCAGCGCGATATTTTACTCGCTGCCATTCTCGTTAGCAAACAATTGATAGTCAAAATATTGAAATAAGCATCAAGTCATACTAGAATTGACTGGCCTCAAGTTCACCGCGGCAGACGACTCGCGCGCGACGTTGTCGCGAACTTTGACCGGCCAAGGGGGGCAAAATCGAAAACTAATCAGACGAAGAAGACGATAGACGAGCAAGCTGGCCACGTGATGATATCGCCGCTGCGAGCCGCTCTATGCTCTATCGATCGGGCATTCTCATCGCGCATGCATAACCGTCGTCGACCCGACTAATCTACTCGTCGATTAATCGGCCGGCGGGTTGCTGCGCTTCATCTTGAATGGCTGGTTTAACGCACGACCCGGTCGAAGGATGCGACACACTTTGAAGTTGCTGCAAATAATTAGCCGTTTGGACTACCTTGCCATCATTAGAAACTATTCGTCAATGACCAATTTAAAAAACCGCGAGTTTCAGCCTGCAAAATACCGACGCGGTATACGTGCCTCTTCTTACCCGGCAATTACGTCGTTAAATACATAACAATTCGAGTGGCCGCGAAGCGCGCGAATTCCGCAAGTAAGCAGTATTCGACAGGTTGTATCTGGCGCACTGGATGAGTAAGGGACTTGCAGCGCACAGGGGGAGAAGACAGAGGGGTTGGCGCACACCATCAGAACTAACTCGAGACATTTACCATAGGAACTCACCTTTTCTATCGATCTAACACTTTGCATTGCGTGCTAAAAATACCTGTGGTACTTCTCAAGGTGGTCCGCATTTTATTCGTATGCATGCCCGTGCACGCTTTTAATTGTATCTTCTTTATTGTTTTCTCCTTGGTCGTGTTTTCATTTACGAATTTTTTTTTTTTTTTTTCGGAATTTGTCATGTGTGAAGCGCTATTGTATCCACCGTATTTATAATTTCACACAGAGGACAACATCGTGCAATAATACTCGAGTAATTAACATTTCCAGCGCAAGTGACCGACGATTCATGAGTATTGATAGGAAAAACCGAGGTTTCGACGAAGCGTCCGACCGACACACGCGCGTGCGCCACAAACGAGAGATGGCAGCAGATCGGTTTAGAGCCGAGTGGAGAGCAAAAATCAAGCTCGTGCGCTTCCGCGACACTTCCGGCGAGCGGAAGAGGCAGAGCAAGCAGACCGTGGAATCGGGTCGTCCCTTGCGCGTCGCTCGAAAAAAAGAAAGAAAAAAAATATACACGACAAATGTGGCGCGCGCCGGAGCTTCGAACTCGTGCGCGCCGACGTGCGATCTAATTCGTTGAATTTATACTCGGGCGACCTTCGCATCTGCCTATACATGCTAATTGTATGATGCCCTGGCGAAGAGATTGTTTTCTTGCTGGGACTATGGACTTGAGCGTTTCGTTGCGATCGTTGATCTTAACCAGTCGGAGGCTTCGCGTTGTCGCGTAGACATTTATACTTGTTCGCGATAATATTGCGATCGAAACGAGGATCAACCCAGGAGGAAGAGCCTAAAATCTCGCGCAATTTCCAGACAGCATAGTCAAAAGTTCAGTGATACATCGATGAGTCATGAGCCAAGCACGCATAGCTCTCTCTCTCTCTCTCTCTCTCTCTCTTTCTCTTTGCTCGTTTCCAGTATATTTCACGAAAAAATAATAAAATAAAGTGAAATAAAAGGAAAGAAGGAAATGCTATATGAGAAAGGAAAGAACATTATACGTCGCGCGATGTTGCATGTTGGAATGTCTCGGGTATATAGCTGGCGGTGCCACTTCTTTCTTGTACATCTTCTCGTCTTATTGCACCTCTTCGTTTCGCATTATATAGAAAATTTTTTCTCGTGACAGCTTATATATCTCGAGCAAGAAGCCGAATGGGTGTTGCTTTTTTTTACGAAGATGGTTGCATTTTTTAATATTGAAGACGGTGGCTTTTTTTTACAGTCGGACTATGCTTTCTCTCCGTTCGTATCTCATGCGCAGTGCATATAGTAAGAATATTGAACCACGCTCGTGGGTTCGGTCACCGATACAAATATCATGCTTCCCAGTCACGTTAGAGCACGACGCAAACAAAACAGTCGCAATCGTACAGAGAAGAAAGAACCAAATTTCATATTGTATTTTTATCGCAGCGTTTTTCATCCCGTGACTTTTCCCGAAGGGAATATCTTTGAAAGGGAGACAAACTAGTTCAAGGATGTCACATACAACTTCATCGATTTTGATTTATCGCGTTTAATAGCAGTCATCGATGAAAATTTCATGATCCAAAGTCACGTGATCGCGTGATATTGTCCTGCCGACGATGCGGCCGACGTTATACATGGTTTGCGCGCTGCGCGCGTTCGATGCACCCATCTCCCGGCAACGACGACGATGCATGCTCCTTCGTGTAAGCTTTCAGCGGTATTAATCGAGATGGTATGTGTTCGGTCGACCCGGTTCGCCAAGACATTTTTCACGCCGAACTGTCGGATGACTGGCAAAATGCTTTGTCGAGAGCTCGATAGGGAAGATCGCGACGCGATTCTCTCAAATCGCAAGGAACATTTGCGCCACACTGCGAAGCTTTCGACGCGCACGCGTGCGATGCGTCGATGAACCTTTACCTTGACTATTCTCGAATGGAATCGAAGGGTTATATATAAATTTCACGACTATACAGCTAGCCGCGCATCTAGTGACCGCGCATCAACAATAATTGCATGCTAAATCTTTAGCGTAATAACCTTTCAGACACAGTTAAGTCCGCACGTTACATTGAACTCCTTTTCAATTAACTGTCTCAGGGTCTATGCTATAGAGTACAGACGAAAAGCACCCCTTCCCCTCCACCCCCCGGCACGAGAAATATTCAAGTTTCCCTGGAAAAAGGCAAGGTGTTGTGGGTACAACTGTGGCACGCGCGGAAAGGAAATTGGAATGCGTCTTATGAGGAACTTTTCAAGCTTTATATTTTCCAGTTTTAGTAGTCGAGTGAAAGTAGTTCAGTTAGACTTCGAGTTACGAGCTTTTGAGCACTTTTCATTTTGTCGGAGGTCAACTCGTTTGCGTGACTGGGTGTACGTCTGTAGTTTCTTTTTAGAAATGTTTATGAAATTCAATTACATCGTAAAAAGGTACGAGGCAATCGGCACATATTTAAATCTTGACAAATGTTTCACGCAAGAATTTTCCGTTTGTCGACAGTATCAATAGATCGATCTCGAAATATAATTTTTCACTAAAGTTAACGCGAAAAATAGCTGCTGCGAATGAAATTCCAAGATTTGTCGATTTGTAAAATAGAAAAGTGACATCGAGAGCATTTTGTACAAAGAACACGTGCCATTGACTACCATTGTGTTTTTTTTTTTTTATTGTATCTTTTACAGAGGACGAGATTATAGTGATCGAGCATCTACCAGGCCGTCGGGTACACCTTCAAGATTTCTTCTGGACAGGTGCGGAAGACGCGCCACCATGGCTCGATCCAGACCAAATGCTGACGATTTACGAAACTCGCACGGTCCATCACACGGCAACTCTATATGTACCCGAAGACACATCGCGGAGACCCGAGCCAAGCGACGATCGTCCAAGACCAACTGTCGACTGCGCCTCTTGTATAGACCCCACGCCGACGCTCTTGGACGTCGACCAGAACATCGGCGTGCTCATCGATGGAGAAGATCCCGGACCGAGGTAAGCGCGCGAGAAATACGACGTCGTAGCATATGCTTACGCTTATTTGGGTAAACGACCGGTCTCCGAAGGTACTGGCTACTCACGGTACTGAAAGCCGGAGAAGACGTGCCGCCTAAAGTCGAGCTGCGGCTGGCGCGACTGTACAAAGCAGCATTCACGAGGCAGCAGCAGAAGCACTTGGGACTGCTGGGACCCGAGCTTCGCACGAGAAAGAGTCCCAAGCGTGAAGCTATAATCGACAATCGAACTGCGGTAAGTCGTCAAATAGATCGCGGCATCCGCGACAATGGACTTGCACGAGACTCATCCTTCAGCTGGAAGAGGAGACTACGACGAGCGAGACAGCGCTCGGCAACGACAGCACGACCGGTCCAGCGATAATACAACGCCCGCCCTCGGCGATCTCGTTACTCCACATGCGCACATTACGCATAGCCAAGAGCAAGAGGACACTGCCAGTCCTCGAGAGCGAGAATTTCGGGGAGCTGGCGTCGAAGCCGGTGGAACTGAACGAAACGACGAGCGAGGACAAGGCCCAGCTCAAGTCGCCAGTGGACGTTGGCCTGGTGCAGGTGCGCATGCAGAACACGTCGAAAACGGAGGCCGGGGCGATGAGGTTGATCTACACCGTGCACCTCGGGGGCAAGCCCGTGCCAGCTGAAACGGCCGCCAAAGACATGTCGCTGCTGAGCGCCCAAGAGGTGGCCCTCGAGCTCGGCGCGCCCGTCATCATTCAGAGCGAGCGTGAGTATTGCCGAGCGAGTGTGACTTGTTTCGTTTGCCGTTCTCGTACAGTAGAGCACAGCTAGAACCGTCCACTCCCAGCACCGCAAAGAGCAAGTAGCGGCCGCCATGTCACCGTAAACGACGAGAGAAAAAAAAATGGCCCAAAGCACGTGTGAATTTGGATTCGTTGCAGCTTATCTAAAAGAGTCTCGTCCCCTAGCGCTCTCACGTAAGCGTGACGCTTGGCTGCTGGTCGGCGCCGCGAGCCTCGGCATCCTGCTCGTCGGCGTCATCGTGCTCGGCCTGTTCGTCGCGACCAAGCGCAAGCGAGCGCAGAGCGCCGTCTCGGCGCCTCTGCCTAGCCGCAGGACGCTCGTCAAGGACGAGGAGTACGCGCCGACCACGCCCGGCTTCGACAACACTGCCTACACCTCGGAGACCGAGGCCAGGGTGCGTCCGTACACCTTTTTCCCTTCCTTCGCGTCGCGCTGGATTCGGTATTTCTCAACGACGCGGAGGATCCGTCTGGAAAGTTTGCTTTAAGCAGCGCGTAATTGGCCGGGAACACGCGGGCTGATGGCAAAGATCGCTCAACTTCGCCAATTATTGCGATATAGCCGATGTTACTTCGCGATTCGGTTGCACTCTGTGCCGACCCTCGCTGCGGCAAAACTTGCACAAGCCACTGCTACTCGACTCGACGGTTTTCTCTTTCTTTCATTTTTCTCTCAAGTCCATCCAAAACCGAGAGCAACCGAACGAATACATTTGCCAAGTGGCAATTGGCTAACACATTGCTCAACGACAACTCTCGGAATCTCACGTGCGAGGCAACGCGTGCATCTTAGCGCGTCACGGCGATTACAGGCTCGAGTGCCGGCTGCGCAAACGGGCCGAAGGGCTTGCTCGCATGCACGGCCAGGCAGACGACGTAGCAAGGCTTCGACGGTGCACGTGACCGCGAGAGTCTTCTTTGTGCACCTTTCGTCCGACTCCTTCGTATATTTCGCCTCGATTATTTACAAGTACGAGCGACACGCGAGACTTGCCCGGCTTAATAGTTCAATCGGGCTTTTTTTTTCAGCGGGTCGCGCACGTTTAATAAGATTATACGTATGCCGAAGTAATTTCAAATTAAACCTGATCACTTTGAAAACTGCCTCTCAATTAATTTCTTTTCCTCGAGTCACGCAATTTCGTGCGCGAATGTATAGTCGTGCCAACGTCCAAAAGATGGTACTTGAAGTACATCAGCGTACACCCACTCCTTTATATGATGTTATTAATTAACGATTTGTTAAATAGCGATCGGACAATAGAAACCTACCATATTACGGCAATGTGCAATTTTAATGCCGATTTATATTTGCAAACGATATTTGGTATCGAGTAAGCTGCGTCACAGTAGAAAGCAATCGCGACGGCACTACAAGACATTCCGATCGATTTCAATCTGCATATCACTCAAAGACGTGGCAGCGCATTCAGCCGAAAGAAACGAAAGCGAAGAGATATCCCTTATATAAACGGAACAATCTCCAGTAGTCACGGAATCTACCCCGCGTCTTGTAAAAACACTCGAACGGCAAATTGCAGACGCGGGGGCGTGCAACTTGCCAAGACGACGAAGCGATACTATCGATTACGCGAGGAGGTGGCTGGTAGCTTTTCTGAAAAAGACATTGCGTTGCAGACGGAAGTGACGGGTCGCACGCCGGGCTCGCAGGACACCATGGACGTGGACTACCCTCGGGGCGAACTTTCCAGTGAGAACGAGCTGGATAACGAGCACAGAGGTGGCCCGCAAGTGAAAACTTGGGAGTACGCCGAGGCCGCGAAAAAAGGGTAGGTTGATGATTGATGAATATGTGATCGCGACCTGACTGGGTACGCAAATCTGGGCGTTTCTTTAGTTTTTAAATATGTTTGCGAGGCAGGCTTACTAGCTTCTCAATTTTCTCTTCCACGTCTCGATATTATTGTTAAAATTTGCCCGAATGTTTTCTGCCAGAGAATTCCTAGATTCGCAGACAAATTATTGGTTCGGATAATCGTACAGGTTATCGAAGACAGTTCAGTTGTTCGCGTAATCAACTACCGCCGTGCATTTTCTTATGACTCCCAGAAATAAAACTTGCAAGCTAATCGATCAAATGTCTGTCGTGTAAAAAAGAGCGACAAGCAAACGAGGACAGCAACAGCATCAACAGCAACAGCCGCGTTCAGTCGAACAGACAAACGACAATCGTCCACAATCGGGTGACTCGGTGGACTCGGCTGGCATGTTGACTAGGACAACGACGGAAGGCCGCGTTTCGAATACCCGGGCTGCCAACGACGAGGATGATGAAGCCTCAGGGTCGCCGCATTCCTATCTCTCCATGCCCTCCTGCAAGCAGTTCCCAAATATGCGCTCAGTCGAGCCGCTCTCCAAAGTTCTCGAGCCTGTCGTCGTACGTATCGCACGTCAAGCTTTGTTGTCTCAGCGGATTCCAGCGACGATTCGCTTACAGATAAAACATATGGCTTTGGAGCTCGACTCGCCCGAGATGAACATGAAAAATCTTGAGTTTACCGTGAGAAATGGTGACGGGCATTTGACGAGAGCTGCTAGTGAAACCAAGGATCCGGGAGTTTTGGGCCCGATCGTTTGGGATTTGAAGAGGAAGCGCGCCGTCGAAGGTATCGTTCGAAAATGTTCTCTACTATTGATTCTACCCCTGCGGCTTGACGATGTACCACGCAAAGAGCAAGCAAGGTCAGAAGATTTCGAAGAGACGTCCGACTTTGCTTGACTCTTTGCGCGCCTCCGCGAGAGTAAGAACTAGCAAAGCCCCCGATTAAAAAAAAAGACATCCCTCGTGGTAAAAAGGTGGTGCAGCCGAGCAAGTGGGATCTGGACGCGTGCCTCACGGCCCGGTGGGAAGGGCGCGTCGTCGGCTCAACGAGCTCCTCGAAGATTCCTTCAGTCTCTTCGGTAGTCGAGATCCAAAGTCCGCGGCGGCAGCCGCAGCAACGGCGACGAGTCAGCGGGGATTTTCGTTCGAGAAGCGCGCGCCACCGGAGATGCCACCAGGCCAGGGTACGATTCATCACCCAGCTCCGAGGACTTACTCAACAACAACTGCCACCGAGCATCGAGGAAAATCAGCACATGTCGAGTGAGTCATGGATGTTTCGATACTGTTATTCGTTTGTTGATATCACTGCGTGCCGAACGAGGAACAGAGATGGAGCGTTTATTATTGCATCTGTTGCGCTTAATCAACGGTTTCACATGCAATTACGATTACTAATGCCATTCAAATAACATTTTCTTCGTTGAATAATTACATTTTATCATTGCAGACACGTAACATCGCCAAATGTGGATAGTCAGCATTATCGACAGCGTACCTCCCTACCAGATGCTGCCCCGATCCCAGAAACCGGTCAGATCGTTGGTCCACAACCACGAGGTGCTTGGGGTTCGCGACCACTTAGTGCAGGACCTTTTCACAGACCAAATCTTCCGGAAGTCGAAGTGGTGCGAGTTCTCGCTGATTCGCAATTAAGGCCTGAAGATCCTGCTGTGCCGCTCATTAGCGCGATCAAGAAGGAACTTGGAAAGTTTACTTATGACTGATTAAGGCGTTCAATTTTTCGAATTTGAATTTTTCACGTGAAAAATGGAATTATTGACTTTGAATAAAACTTTTTCAACGACCTTCGACGTAATGTACACATTGTGTGATTTGAAGTATGAAATAGACAGTAACATTTTTAAATTTTGAATGTCAGTTTTGACATATCTGTTGTTTAAGATTTATTCAAAGAAATGTCACAGTGCAATCGAGAATTAAGTTTTTTTAGTTGTATCGATAGATTATTTGTTGTTGAGTTTTCGTTTTATCAAGTCAAATTATGTAGTAAATTAATGTTTGTACTGAAGTTTTGAAAAACAAATTTGAGTACATTGCAGAATTTAGGTATCTTAATAGTAGTTATCTCGTGATTTATCCGACGAAGAATAATATTTAATTTATCGTGAAAGTGCAATGTAAATATGTAAATGTAGTAATTTCAACAAGTATACAGTGAAATCAGATTTGTTACCATCTAGTTAAAACACTAGAACTTAAAATTATAATTATTCCAAACAGTAGCTTGTTAATCAATATAGACAATATCTCGAATAATATAATATTAGCATTACATTATACTAGACGAAGTTCCATGTAAATAATTTCATAAAATCCATTTTTATATGTAACAAGTAGGAAAAACTATATCAATATTGGCATGTTTTCGCACAATGATGTTCGCATTAAGCAGTTTTCTATTTTCGGTAAGAAACATTCCTAACACTATTGTATCAGATTTCTTATGAATTTGAGGTTACTCGATCGACACCATCCATCCACGCTTTTTTGTTAAAAAAAATTGTAGTCGAATAAAAGGGTCAATTGTTTTTATTTAACATTCCTTCCCATAGGCAAACTTTGTTTCATTGATCGATCGTACATGTACCACAAGAGCCTTGCATTTATCAGTTCAACTGATTTTCGTTACGTCCGAAAGAGGACGCTACTCTCTACAATGACAGGATGTAACAATCGATTGAACTGCAGTGCAAGTAAAAGTGAACGATTTATCTCGAGGGTGACACAATGTGGAGTTATGATTAAAAAAAACTGCCAAATGACGTTTTGACTCGAACACTATCATTCGAGACATAACATCCACCCATCATAATTAAAAAAAAATCTTTCTGATCGGAACAACCGAATTCCAAAGTTGAAGCTCAAGAAAGGTCGACTCGAGAAAAAGCACAAGGCGGCAAAATTCAAAACACAAGTGACTCTCCGGGTGCACTGGCCTTTCGGGCGTCTCGGGCACGCGCGCGCGGGCTGGAAGAAAAGCAAAACAAACCAAACGCGAGAGGCTGGCTGGCTGGCTGGCTGACTGGCGGCGCGGCTGCTGCCCCACTCTTGGCGTGAGGTTCGTGCACTCGGCAGCAGGGCAAAAAAAGAGAGCCAGGGGAAATATCGCGACGGACATGTGTAAGTAGTGGCGGGGAAGGGGGGGGGGACACAGCCTACGTGTGTGCATGCATGCACACCAGTCGGAGAAACTGGCCTCGCGTAATAGTATATGCACTTGAAATATTCAGCACGCGGTTTTTGTTGGCTTGGAAAATTGTCAAGTAGATCAGGCTGATGTTCGATCGGACGTGCGAAAGGTCAGGCGTGTACTAACTTTCGGAAATTTCAGGAAGGGCAATTAAATCTTGAGAGCTCGGGTTCTATCTCAGTGTCTCTCTCGGTGGGAAGAGCACTAATAATTGCCGGCGAGTTTACGATTTGCCGGAGGGTGTCAATTACAAGCAAAACGTTGCGCTGCAGCAGCGCTCGTGCGCCACAACAGAGGAGCAGGATCAGGTGAGAGTGAAAAAGAAGAGGCGAGGGGTTAATGGCACAAGCAGAAGAGAGACGCATGCGCGACGACGAGCATAATCTCTCTCTCTCTCTCTCTCTCTCTCTCTCTCTCTCTCTCTCTCTCTCGGCTACATAGAAGTTTCAGTGGGTGGTGGAGGGGAGTACCGGCCGCTATTTTATGTGACCGTCACACATCCGCGAGAGCGAACGTCCAACATATATATATACAATATACAGGCTTATCAAGTTAAAAAATAAACAACTTGGATAGTGTTGTCAGAGCTTAATTTGCTGAGATTATGGAAATGGTTATGTAGAAAAGTATATTGTCGGAGTAACTTGTTTGTAGGATTTTTGCATTTATTTATCTGACAATATTATTTAAAGATCGATGGTTGGAAAAAAGTAACGTATTTTTTTCGGATGAGCTTCATGTTTGAATGTTGCAAAGGACTGGTACATTTACAGAATTAAGTTGAATCGCCAAATCTTCATTTTCTTTTTTTCTCGTTGACTGCTTTATTGATCAACTTACTTGAGCATCTAGATCTGATTATCCTTCGAAATAACATTGTCTGGTTTTAACCAATGCTCGATACTTGTTTTCCTTTCATTTATTTAGCGAAGAAGTTGGTTCTTCATTTTGAAAAGTCAACTGATTTGAATAATATTTAGCGAAGGTCCGTTCATCAAATGTTTGTAATTTTGTAACAAAGACTCCAGCGACGGAGGTCTCGTCGAACCGAAATCGTAGTAGTAGCAACCGAAATGGTCAGACACGAAAAAATCAATTAGGCGAAGTACAATAATTTGAACAGCGTAAACTCGCCATTGGATTTCAGGAAAAACCAATGGCAGTTTGAAAAACTGACATCACTAGCGCGAAGAAAGGAAGTGGTAAAAGCCAGCACGGTTATCCATGTGGTCGCTTCGAGGCAAAACAATCCCTCCTCTCCGCCTCTACGAGTTTGTCGTCGCGCGGCGTGCATCATATGTGGAAAAGAAGGAGTCGCTCTTACGCGATCGTGACGTCGGGTTCTGACGGTCTCTCATCGAGGAAGAGGGGGTATCCCCTCGGGGGCTTGCGCGGCGCTGGCGCGGTGGGGGGTTTTAGGCAGAGCGCGAGAGAGAGAGAGCAGGCTCGGCGTTCGGCTCGGCAGTGCGTTCGTTCGCAAGATGGCAGACGGGCCGTCTTCGTCGTCGTCGGTGTCCGTACAACATCAACCATCAACGTCGTCGTCGTCGTTGTCGTCGTCGCGTCAGTCACGACGCAGCTCGAGCATGCCACAAAGCAACAACAACAGGCAGCAGCAGCAGCAGCAGCAGCAGCAGCAACTGGCCGTAAACACGAGCAGACGGAGTAGCCTCAGCAAAATCATCGCTAGCGCAGCAGTCGTGTTAGTCGAGCGCGCCCCGATAAAGCGGCTCGTCTCCTCCGTGTCGTCGGCTAGCGTTTCCTCGTTCAGCCCTGGCGTTGGTACTTCGCTGTTGTCCAAGAAGCAGGACGCTTGCGCGAGTACGAGGAAGGATAAGGATGCTAAAGTGTGCGCGGGTGGTGATAATGTGCCGACGATTAGCAGCGCTAATGATAACAATGTGTCAACGACGATTGCCAACAACGCTGTCACCGACGTGACAGTGACAGCACTGCCGGTGGTTGTGGTGACGAGGGGAGCGGCCAAGAAGGCCCGCCAGGAAGACCTCGTTGGGCCCAGCCAACAAGCCAAGAAACGCTGCGCCGATCGATACGACAGCTCCGAGAGCTCCGACAGGTAACAACATACGCACGCACACACACACACACACATACACACTCATGCACGCTCATCGATGCTTCTTTCCGAAGTTTGCTTTCCTCGGACTGCGAGCAATTAACCTCTCGAAACAATTGCAACTCGGGGATTTCGGAGCGAATCGATGGCGGAAATAGGTTGAAGAATGCGCCTCTGTCGAAGCTGGCAGCTGCCTTTGTTTCGCGCTCTCGAATTCAGAAAACGCGCCGCAAGAAACTTCTGATCAATTTCATAACGCCAATAAAGATAAATGGCGATGTTTTTCGAGCGTGATACTGTGTTTCGTTATCACGCACAGCAGAGCGGCTTTATCGGCCACAGCCGATTTCTCGCTTTTCTCGACTTTACATCATCGCCTTCGACAGATCCACGTAATTCGCGAAAAACGATGAATTTGCTCGTGAGTTCGCCAGGCAAATTGGCCGCGCTGTCTCCCCTCCCACCCAGCCCGCTCGCATTATTCAATGAGATAGCGTAATTTTTCGATTAATAATGCATGCCCGAATTGAGAATCCTAATAAAATGCTAATGCCGCGGGGGGCGGAGAGGGTCAGCGTGCGTGACTTCGATCGTGGAATGTTGATATATATTCGCGAGATCGTGGGAAATGATTTTCCTGTCGCGCGCGTGAGATGACAAAGCGGAGGTGGAGGTGGTGCCATTGTAGCTGGCCTTTTGAAAATTCAGCGTGCGAAGCTTCGCCTCCGCGGGCTTGGCGCTCATTAGCTCGCTCTTGTATTTGCATTTGGGTTGGCTTGTTTGGTTGGCTGTGACAGAGAGACAATTTATTTGTTTTGAAAAGGGATGTTTTGACGCTTTTTGAATTCTTTTCGTGCTATAGTTTTCGAAAGGGACGTCGGTTTCAGGAACGAGCGCGCGTTTCAACGTCTCCTTTTCGTGTTGTCAACATTCTTTCTTTCTTTCTTTCTTTCTTTCTTTCTTTCTTTCTTTCTTTCTTTCTTTCTTTCTTTCTTTTTTTCTTTCTTTCTTTCTTTCTTTCTTTCTTTCTTTCATTTTCGAATAAACGAAAGGTCGAAGACTACGAAATGTGCACGAAGTCAACGTGTAAATGCGAAGAAGCGGAAAATTCATAGCAGCTTTCGGAGTTCGAAGTTAAATTTGATCGAGATAGCTTTGTTTGTTCAAGTGGATCCGTCGCCTGATTAAAAATGCAAACAAACTTTGTCGAAATTGCCAAAGCAAGCATTGCTTATCACGATTATTCAGTCTCTGAATATCTCCAAATCGAATTTCCCAGTCTATAATTGCCAATCCATCGGAATAGGCCAGCGCCTTTTTCCCCTCCGCAACAGTCAATTCCGCAAAGCGCAACTCGATTATTCAAATTTTTCAATGAAAAAACTAGAATGAGAGGAGGGCCTGCGCGCGCGCTCTACAGTCTATAAAACCATCAGAACCAAATTGACAAGCCATTTGGCGTCGTCGTAGCGTCGGACCCTCGCGTTCCGTCCTTCTTTTTCTTTTATGCATAGAGCACCGATGAGCTTTTTCTTTTTCGCGCAGCACGAAGAGCAGCCAAATTTGACCGACGAAGACGATGATAATAAGCGAAGTCCCCAAACAATCACGCGTCTCGAGTACGTTGACCTCGTTACTCATCCAATGGCGATATTTAACCTTCGGGGCCTAAAATCGGAGCTGATAAGCAGCGACAAAATACAAAAAAAGACAGCCGCAGATGACGTCGCGGGGGAGAATCTTTCTCTCTCTCGCGCCAGAGATAAGCCGACGTTCTTTTTTTCTTTTCTTTCTCTCGACGTGGCCAACCGGATGACGATGGTGATGATGATGGGCACCAACCTTTTCTTCTTACTTGTTCTTTCTTTCATCGTGCTTCTTTCTCTCTCTTTCTCTCTCTTTCTCTCTCACGGGGGAGACTATTGTGCAGTGTGGGATTGGAATTTGTTGTTTTCGTTCGGACTAGTGAAATGGTATTTATCGGCATTCAGTTCAAACACTTTTTTATGAGAGGCTCATCGTTTACGTAAATATTAACAAATGATATTCGCGCAGCTTTTTCGCTTGATTGGCAAATCGAATCATCGGTGGTCTGTTTTCACCGCATGGATGGAAAATCTCAAGATTTGCTACAGTAGTAGAAAGCACATTCTGATCGAACAACCGTGGCTGATATCGTCTCGGCTGCGAGCATTTTAACAAGCACTGATTGAAGATAAAAAAAACGTATGACTTATCTTGACATTGTATCGGGTGAGTTCGAAGATAAAAACCATTTTTGCTGGCCACTCAACCACTGCATTCCCACAACAAAATCAAATTCACTCTGATCCTCCGACGCTTAAAAGGAAAGCAAAAAAGAATCGACTCAACCTGTCTCGGAGTATTTCATCTCCATCTCTCTCCCTCGTTGTCGTTTTATATCCTATTCACCTCAGGCACAGTGAGTAACCTCATTAAGCGGTGCGCGCATCTGAAAACGGGTTTCGCTCGACGAGCAGAGAAAGGAAGAGTCTATGTTGTACCTGTTATGCTCGAAAATTAGCATCTCGTCGTCGTGCAGAAATAAAAAAAACGCCGTGCGTCAGGTCAAGGCGAACGAAAAAAAAGAAAAAAAAAATGCGTTGTCCTTGATCCTGGCCGCGAAAGTGAAATCATATTCGTAAATGGGACACAACTTAACCCACGACAACGTTGTGCTGCTACTCTCTTTACCGTTACAATTGATCTTACGTAATGCGCCGTGCGTTGACATTGAGAGCTTCTCTCTTGCACCTTTTTTTTCGTGTTTTCCATTGCGCAATGTTTGCTAGTCGCTCGGGATCGGCTTTATTTTCTTTTGCGAGCCGAGTGCGCTCCATTCGTGTCTTTTTACGAGTCGTCGCAAGTGCTGACAATTCATTCGATAATGTCTAAAGCCTCGCTCGCACTCGGAAAATCATTCCCATTTCGAACTTGAAATTGCCGACGCTCCTTGTGGATGCATTCTTAGAAAGTCCCGCCGATGCATAAAGAGAATCGTTCAGCAATTCCCATATTTCTGCTCGCGGCGCTGCACCGTAAAGAAGCAACAACTAATGGCCCACGCGCGCATATCGCCGATACTAAAAATCGCAACAAGTTCCGCGAAGCAGCGAAGCGTTGATCAATCCCAGCAGACACACAGCAGCTCGCACCACGCGTACGCGCCGAGTAAGTCGGTAGGCGAGTGCAGCGGCGGCGGCGGCGGCGGCGGCAGTGGCGTTAAATAACCAGATGCATCGCGCTCGCTCGCGCGGCCTTTCTAATTCGGATTGCGAAACGCCGCCGCTGCATGGGAAAACCTTGCGCGCCTTTCTGTTTGCGTGTGCTCTTGTCGCGCAACCTCAATTTCCCCGCCAGGCTCCTTTTTATTTTCTTTTTCGCGCGAAGGAAGCGTCGCTCGAGACGAATCGTACCCCGGCGAAAGCCAAGCAGCCGTCTGCCTCCGTCGCGTTGATAACGGAAACCGGATACACGTGTGTATGGATATGTATGTGCGTGCGATTCGCGCCGATACGTCTAGTCACGAGTCGTGCCTTGCAATTTCCACGACGTACCTGCCTATTACACGCCGACGTATTGTCAAAGAAGGTCGCGCCAGCTGATTATCCAATCGTCTCTTGCGCCTTTGCTCGCTTATGACGGTCAACATTGAACTTTTCGCGGCGATCGCCATCGACGACGAAGACGACGACGACGACGTACTCTGCGTATCCTAATTGAATGCTGTCTCTTTGTTGTGCACTTGTCCACAAGGTATTCTCATTATATTTGGCCTCGCGTGGCGAGCGTCTCTTTTTTCCGGGATACGCTTTGTTTTCTTTATGCGGTGCATTATCGTTATCAACAAAAAGTACATGTTAATCTGTTCGATTCACCAAATACGCACCAAATCGTTGCGTAACGCCAATATCAATCATATGGCTAGTTGAGAATTCGTTCGAGAAAGCATCGATTAAAAGGAAATTTTGCTTCGATGTTTGATCATGTGTTCTTGACTCGTGTGCGTCATTTTACATTTTCGAAATGTTTTTCTTGAAAGTCTGACCGTGCGGTAAAATGGTATGCCGGTTTAGTGGAAATATAAGATTTGTCAATAGTAGTCGTAAAATAGGCTAATCTAGTCGAGACTGAATAAGCAGTTGTCATTAGAATTGTAATAGTCGATCAACTTATCTACGACAAGCGCAACATTTCTGAAAATTGCCAAAGGATTGGAATTGCGTAGCGACCCTTAGCATCGATCCATCCAGCGATAATCGAGCTCAGCGATTCGAGTGTTGCTCTTTCTCTCAAACTCCACCCACCGCGACGATTCTCCCTCTCGCATTTCTAAAAATATGAAGTCACAATAATAGCCCGCCTTCGCAGGACTTGTTGCGCGAGGGCACGGTAAGGGTGTGGGAGCGAACGAAAGGGGGGCACAGAGCTGCGAGTTGCGCGGGGTATTGATCGCGGCGGCCGTGGCGGTGGCGGCGGCGGCGACGACGACGACGACGACGACGACGACATCGTCGACGACGGTGCTACTGCTGTAGCTCCCCCACCAGGAAATTGGTGGATCGGCTACCGTTTCTTTCGTTCGTCGGCACGCTTTGTCGCTTTCACTCTCGGCCCGGGGCCGTCGACAACAGTCACACACGCTGCGCTGGACGCGGACGGGCGACAGACTTCCCGCGTAAAAAATCCGGTCTATCGACCGGGCGACACGAAAGCCAATCGCATATTTTCCCGAGGCTTGACCCGCGGGCCGCGCTCGCAGATAGCCTTATCTCGCTGCAACGCATAGGCGCGCTTTCTCTTCGACGATGGAAAGAGAGAGGAAGAAAGGATCGCGACGAGATTTTTACAGGCGCGCAGCTGCAAACACACACGAGCCGTCGGCGTTGGCGCTGCGCCGCTCGTAGCTCGCTCGATTTAGTCAGAGGGAAAAGTCAGGCCGCATTAATCGAAGTGCACTTTTAGCGCACTCTATATGC